ATTGATTTGATGTAAAATTAGGAGAGAAATGATGTGAAGTGATAGTTGAAATTATGTGAGTGGATGAATAGCGAATTAAAGTGGATGTGATGTGTAAGAATGATTGGTTTGTATTATTTAATTATATTGATAATATTGAAGATAGTGGGGTTGAGTTAAAGTTGAGTTAGATTTTGAGTATGAATTGCATGTGAATAAATTTTTTTTGTATACAATCATGCTCTAAGTATTTGATTCCTATTCATTCTCATTGCTATGGTCAAGTAAATTGTTTATTCATTGTCTACTTGGTTCGCTCAAAATCTAATCGAGCTAAATTTGATAAATGTGGCAGCATACATGTCTTTCTGGGCACACACAAATAGTAATGTGGCCTGTGTATGTGGGACTGAGTATAAGTTTTTATTAGTCTTCTATTTACTGTTTCATTTTCTAGGAAAACGTGAATCTACAAACGAGACTCCTCTCGATGAGAAAAAACTGAAGCTTGGGATGAAATTGACAGCTAAAGTTCATCAAATTCGTGCACATGGACTAGTCCTTGATTTAGGTGGCGGTTTGCGTGGGATGTATCGGTTTGAGGTAAATAAAGCGTATCTTTTCACATTTCAAACTCTTTATCTTGTCCCTTTTTTTCATTGCCTATAGTTCATTACCTTTTTAATAATTTTGACAATAATTTTAAGGTTGTTGACATAATCACTTAGTTTAGGAATCTTTATAAAGTTTGATTCTGTTCTTAAAAAGTCTCAAACAAATCATTAGATTTTCTCTGAGGCGTTATAGGGAAATTCTGCTGATGCAGAAAATCGAAGGAATCTTTTATTTGCCCTTTTCATTCAATTTTCGTTCATATGCAGAATGGTTCAAGAAGCGAATTTGAGATTGGCGAGGAGGTTCAAGTTAGGTGCTCGAGTTTCTCGAGCAAAGGGATCCCGGTAATGTCGCTAGTCGAGCCTTAGAAAGTGATCATATTTCTGGGTACATGCTAAACTTTTTTGGTCCCTCTATTTTTTCTTACATCTGAGTTAATGTGATTTGAGTAGTTTGGTTTATTTTTAATTTTAATTGGTGTAGAAGTAAAAGTAGTGTGTGCCAGGGAAATATTTTATCATGTGGCTGCTGTATATTATGCTTTTGCATAATTCTTTAGGAAATAAGAAATTTTGTTATGGATGTTCAAAATATGATTTTATTCTCTTTTCATGT